CCCCCTCCCACACTACTGTTTTCACTTGTATACTTGCCCTTCCCCCTTCCTTCTCTGCTCACATATAGCTGTGTATATTTCCAACACAGTCTGCTTTTACCGGTTCTCACAGTCTCTTCGCTTGCAGATTTCTTATATTTTTTCTTCTACCCTGAAGATGGAGGCGATACATTCCTCCGAAACGTCGGTTAACACCACATATACACGGTGCCAAATCCCAGAAGACTGCTTTCTTAATAAGTGAAGCTTTAAAATCTGGCACGGCAAAGGAACTATTTTCCTGTGCCCCCATTAGCTAGTTCAACAGTCACAGAAACAGGAAAGTATCTTACAGCCAAGAACATATTTTAGTACTTTCACTCTGAGCAAATACAAGCAGACTTTAGATGCAAAGAGTCTGGGAGCCTGCTCTACACAAGATGATTGGCACCAAAGAACATACCTTCTTTTTCAGCTCAACAGAGATTGCATTAGCTTCCTTGAGGAATATAGCGTTTCCCCAGAGGTCATCCCGCAGTGAAGTGAACTGATGGAACTTCCACTTCCTGAATGCCCATGCAGCCAACTGGTACTCACGATCACTCCAGTTGCACTCTGCGTCAAACAAGGGGTTGACTGAAATGCCATCAGGCAATCACAGTCAGACAACAACACAGAGCATGACCCAAAGAAAAGAGATTAATGTATTAAATATAGCACAGAAGTACTTGAATGAAATTTCAGTGTTAAGAAGATGGACAAATGGATTAGTCTGGGTTCATGCATTTGGTCCTACTAATACCCCAACTAACTGATGTAATCTATTAAATTCAAGAAGAGTTCTTCTTGAGCATCTAACAGTCATTCTGCTTCTCAAGATATTCCCTGCTTTTTATGGAACACAAAGGTTCATGATTGTGTTCACAGGAGTCCACTCACAACTTGGTCTTCATTTTTGGCTCCAAGTGATTTCTATGAGTCTTGCAGATCAACTACTGATTAATTTCATTCTAAGCTGACAATGTTCCCAAAGAATTAAACATTTATTTACAGGTTAATAAGTTCTGGGCCAAAGGGCCATGACAAACTTTCTATGGTTTTCCTTTTCTTTCCAAAACTTATGCATCATTCTGTGATTTATTCATTTCCTACAGCAGTTGCTACTGACTGACTTTTATCCAGTTTTTCTAACAATAAGTCTAAGTAAATCAATGACTAAAATCTGGTACTATAATCCAACAACATTTCTAACACATAATCTGAAATAAATCATGAACTGTTTAATCCTGTTCATATCACTGAAGACTATTTTTTATGATCAATTTCAATATATGATCACACTCATCTCAATCTTTCCAGCAGTTCATTTGTAAAATGTTCTCTATTAGATCCTGCAACCATTTCTTGCTTCCAAAAACTGGGATACCCATCTGGTCTGTCAAAAAATCTCTTTGATTTAATCACTAACAAGAATGAAGACCTCAAACAATAACATTTCTAAACATCTACTTTCCTTGTTTCCTCTTCTTTCTTTTGTCTCAGTTGCATAAAATCAAATATACATAAATTTAAGTTGAATCTAATATTGTAACCTGAGCTACCATACATAATTTCTCCCACCTAACACTTCCTTGGTCACAAAAAAGACACAAGACATTCTGCATTTGCTGTCCTGGCAATGCATAAATGGTTACTGCATGCAGATTAATACAGCAAAAGCAAAAGCAAAAGAACACCCACATCCCACTGGAAAGGAAAAGAGGATCAGATGTCCATAAGAAATCCAGCCTCCATATCAGTAAGAGCAGGAGTTTGCAGATTCAAGATTATGGCTTTCTGGAACGTGGCTCCATGTATTTTGGTAGCTAGCTACTAAACTACATGGTGTCACATTTTTCAGAAGACCATGATCTTGGTATTGCTATGAAAGGTTTGAATATCACAGTTCTTAGATTGATTCATTCTTAGGTCATTTACAAAGCTGTTTCAACTGCAGAAGCTACAGAATATTAAATATCATTGGAAAGTGATCATGGCTGCTGATTAGATAAGCACATGAAAGGATGCAGACATGGCCTATTTAAGATACGCAGGTAAGTCAATAAGTAAGTTACAAATGGATATAAAACTTAAACACATAAGAGTACTGATTTGAAAAATGCTTTTATTTCTCAATATAATCTCCCTGTACATTGAGGCACTTGTACCGTCATTTCACAAGCCCCTGAAAACCAAAGCATAAAATTCTTTGGGCTGCTGTCGGACTCGAGCGGTGACTTCCCTTTCTACAGCTTTCTACAGCATCACTTTCCTGGAGGATTTAAACTTTTCTTTGGCAGGTGACGCAGGATGTTTCCACTACTGATGTACTACTGTACTGATGCACGCTTAGTCTCGGGCTGGTAATGGTGAACCAAAAACTCATCACCTGTGACAATTTGGGCTAGAATATTGTGTCCTTCATGTGGTATTGAATGAGATGCTGCAATGCCAGACCCATTCTTTGCATTTTGTGTTGTGGGGTCAGCATGAGCGGCACCCATCGTGCACAGACTTTGTGAAAACCTAACCTGTCATGCATTATGAGGTAGGTGTGAACACACCTGGTTCCAACAGCAGCCCAAAGAATTTTATGCTGCTGGTTTTCAGGGGGTTGTGAAATGATGGGACAAGTGCCTTAATGTACAGGGAGATTATGTTGAAAAAAAAAAAAAGAAAGAAAGAAAGCATTTTTCAAATCAGTACTCTTATTTGTTTAAGTTCTATATACATTTTTAACTTACTAATTGACTTTCCCTTGTAATCTGCTAACAGCTGCCTGCAGAGATTGAAGAAACCCATTGCCAGTAACCTGAGACTCAAATGAGGCACCTCTAGGATATAAGTTTAGAGTATCATCAGTCAATTAAGAGGCAGAATTCAACTTCAAACCTTGACAGAACTTTACTACTCAATGTATAAGTAATGTCTGCTACAATTTTAATAATACAATGTCATTAAATAAACCAAAAATAAACAAATTTTTATAACATATTGTACAAAAATATTAGGCTTGGGTATACCTTTATATAATGATCTAAAGTCCATTGCAACCTCAATGGGAAATTGTTGAGCATAAATTCCATGGAGAAAACAATTTCTGTACACTTGGAATATTTTCAGCCTATAAAAATAAACCATCAAGAGCACCTAACCTTAAGGCACTTTGCCAATCTACTTTAATGTCAAATATAAAAATCTGGAGTGTACGTGTTATAGTAAGATGCTAAAAACTTATTGGGATACTGATGGCAAAAATAGCTGAGAACAGGTACAACAGACACACAGTACCTATAGACTGACTGCCAGTCTTCATATTGAAACCCAGTAACTTTCATTAAGTACTTCTTGATATATTTTACTGTTAAATACAGGCCAATATAATAATGAAAATTGATCAGTCAAAAGGAAGATGCATTAGCATGGTTAAAAACATTCAAAATCAGGAACAAAAGTGCAGCATAAACATGCTTATTCTAGTGTGAGATTATTTCAATGAATGCTGAATTACAAAATTAATTAAAATTAAATATCAACAAAACTTGGGATGAAAATTTAAAAATCTGGCACTGTCTCGGTAGAAGATATTAATGTTATTTATCTTAACATGAAGTAACAGTATCAATATTTACAGTGTGAAATTATACATTCAGGAAGTAAAAAATAAGTAACAAATATTAGTTTTCATGCAGTATAAATGCATGACAAGATTATTAATAAGAATTCCATTAATGTAAATAATACAGTGCCATAGCAAGGTCTGTATGAACAGCAGACATACAAACTTGAATAACAGATGCTTTCAAACATGTTAGGATAGCAGAAGGTTTTTGCATGCAGTTGGATTGTGGTTACAAGAACCTACAGTTCAGAAGTGGCATGATACAGTGTGCAGAATATGTAGTCTGTCATAGAAGAAAAATTACAAATATTAATACAAGACACAAGTGCTTAAGAACAATCTTCTAGTAGACATATGACAAAATTAAATGGACAGTAAATGCCCAAAAGATGATCAATCCTCTCACTTTAAAGACAAAAGTTTAACTGTCTGGAAGAGGCACCATCATTACATTATATAGAGAGAGCTTCTGAAGAAAACATAAACTTCAAATACATTATGTTGGGCATCACATTCACAGTAAAATGTCAAGGAAGGAAGAGTTGATCTTTTTCTCTGCTCTCTGTGGATTAGACTACAGCATATTTTGAGACTCAGTTTCTATCCACTGTAATCGTCTTCTTCTCCTTGTAGTCATCCATTCTTTAATTTAGTGAATAAACAGCTAGTTCCTTCAATACAAATCACTATTTATAACTTTGTCTACTCCTGATATTTCTAAAAAAATTTATTTTTACTAATTCAGTTATACTAATATTTTTGTTCATCCTAACCCAAGTTTCACTTTTATATGAGAGTGTGGGAAGTGATATTACTTAAAGAAATACAGGATGACAGACAGAAAATTCAAGCTCACTTTGCCGCTGTCTCTATTCTACATGTATTTGTACATATACTGTGACATTCTGAAATCTCCAAATACATATTTTTCTTTGTTTACATCTTTGGCCATTTTACTGAAATATGGTTTAAATACTTCAGTTTTTGAGAGATGAATCACATACCAGCATTGCTTACCACTGTTCCAGAGAAACATCGCCCAGAAAATTCTACAAAAGAAATTTCAAGACACATGACTCATCACATGATGTGCTTGCATATCCAAGATTAGCTTACATTGGTATACCAGAGTTTCTTATCAATTATGTTTATAAGGTGCATGTCACCTGACTTCTGTAGCAAGTATACGTGTTGGTGTAAAACTCATAAATACCTTGCTATGGCACTGGGTAAAATTGGTGTTTGGTACTAACCAAAGATATCTTCCTCATTGTTGAAGTCTTCTGGTGTGTATGAGCTGTACATGGACATGGTCATACTTTGTTCTTCCACTTGCTTTTGAAGGGCATCAATTCTTGCTTCATAGCTCTAGAAAATGACCACATTAATTTAAAACAGAGATTCCCAAACTCACTGTCTGTGGACCAAAACTGGTCAGCAAAAAATTTCAAGTGGTTCAGCTCCATTTTCAAAGTCATTGCATTATATTTATGTATAAATAAACATCCGATTTGCATAGAAAAATTGTAATATTATTTTCATTCAAAATTCTTAAAATGTTTTGTTTAATATTTGAGTGGTCTGCCAAAGAAGGCCCATGCAGTAAGTGGTCCATGGTCTGAAAGAGCTTAAAAACCGCCTTATTTAAAGTTAAGACTTAGTATGGATGAAATATATAATTAACCAACCCAAAGGTTCATCACGGATAATACCAAAGCCCAATATCATCTTCTTGGTCTCCCAGATGGCTCTATTTCAAGACGTTTCCCCCAGAAATGTACTGTTTCCTTCAGCTCAGCTATGTTTCTAGTCATCATAACCTCTTCACTTCAGCAACCTCCACAATACCAGATAAGCTATACAGGTCCATGAGAAATTACTTGTAAATTGACCACTGACAGAATGAAAATATGCAAGTAATCAAGCTGAACATCAAATACTTTAGATGTTCCTGTTTTTGGGTACTGAAGGGAAAACTTCAGAAGGTGTGGAAAAACTGTCTCTTTAATAGCCTTACATGTACTGTCCTAGACTGAACATGGATCTATATGGTATCTAACTATCTGAGATATGATACAGTGTCGTGTTTATTGCGCCGATGCCTAGCAACGTCTGTCTCTTTTTTTCCACTATTCCAGCCTTCAGCCGTCATGTCAGTATGTTTGTTTATCTGTTATCCCATCTGTCTATGCACCAGTAATAAAAAAACATGCAGTGTGATCTCAACCCAGCATTTGGGATGATACAATATAGGTTTCAAGTATGCTGAAGGTCCTCAGGCTCCTCAAATAAAACAATTTGGTGTCTCTTGTGTAGAAAATCTGTGCTAATTGAAAGACCACTACACAACTTGCAGTAACGATGCAAGAAATTTTAGTTTACTTCTCAAACTTTAAACAGGTAAAGCTACATGATGGCCTCACCTTACGTTGTTCTTCAAAGAGTTGATCTGCTTCTTCCTTCTCCTTTCGGAATTGTTCTTCCAGCACAAGGAGCCTCTTCTCCATCTCTACCTTTAGGTCAATGCCCTGTTTCTCCAGCAGCTCAATCTGTGCAAAGTTCCAGTCCACAGTTTCTCCATTTCCTGGAGTCTGAGCTGGAGAAGTTTTTTCAATGCATTCTGGAGCTGAAACATTTTAAAAACTGACTGTCCATGGAAAACCGACAGGGAAAAGAAATCCCTTTTTAGCCTGCTTTCTTTAATGTATGAGGTAATAATGACTTACTGTAGGTGGGCTTAAGAGTAGAGCTTAAGAGGTAGGAAGTAACAGAAAAATGAAGGAAATCAACAAGCTTGATGATGTATATTCTGCATCAAATATAATTAGGATAATTACATTAAGGAGGATGTGATGGATAGGGCATGTTGTACAGATAGAAAAGAGGAGAAATGCATGTAGAATTTTGGTTGGAAAACCTGAAGGAAAGAGACCACTTGGGAGACCTAGATATAAATGAGGGGATAGCATTAGTATGGATCTTAAAAAACAGGGTGGAAGGGCAAGGACTGGATTAATTTGGCTATGGAAAGGGACCAGTAATAAATTCCTGTGAAGAGAAATGAATCTTCAGGTACCACAAAAGTCAGGAAATTTCTTGTTCAGTCAAGTGACTATCAGCTTCTCAAAGACCTTGTTCCATGCAGTTAGGGAGTTAGTCTTATGGTACCATTAAGTTCGTGTGCCCATCTGTATATCTGTCCTCCTCCAACAGTTTTGAACCAAATGGCAGACATTCACAGAAATTGGTATGATCGTCATGTCATGGAGATCATCCCAGCTTTGTACCATTTAATCTTCTACCACCAATGAATCCGACACGATGTCCACATGAATTTGCAAGGTGGGGACTTCAAATGTTTGATACAATGGTTGATTCATCAGATGAACATTGTCCCTTATCTATGTATATAGGTAAAGGTAAAGCTATCCCTGTAACAGGCTGTGGAGGCCCATAGGATTGCAGGACGTCAAGGCTCGAGGGTGTCACAGCCTTATATGTCGACTGTCTTTGTCCCCAGGAAGATTCCTAGTATTAATTTCTGTTAGAGACTGAGTCAACTGTAAGGCCATAGTGAGGATGGAACGATCAGGTCAATTTTAAAATCCAGTGACCTCATTTGAACAGAACCTGTGACCATCTAGCTTTTAGCAGTGCCTCAACCAACTATGGTACTTTGCGCCCTCTTCCCCCATCTAGGGTATAATTAACATACAGACTACTTCAGAAAAGGACCCAATTTCCAAAATTCTGTGTACATTAAATATTTCCCACACAATGGACAATGTACAACACAATATTCACATAACTGTGAGGTGGGAGGAACATTTGTGCAATGTATCTTCAACAAACACCCAACATTGGAAATTATGCATAAAACTGATAATTAAATGTAATAATTATTAATTCATAATTACTGCTACCTTCACTAAATATGTAGAATGAAAGACATGAAGAAAAGTATGCATCATAAGTTCACTCATAACTTCCTGTTTTTATCCTTTAACACACTTGCATGGTAATTCTGATTATTAACTTCTGAGACAAGTGCAAGACTTGCTTAAAGAACAATTTGAAATGAAATTTGATGACAGTACACGCTGGGTTGTACACAGCAATCTTCCTACTACTGAATGGACAGCCTTCATGCATTAAAAAGTTCATCTGTACTTCAGCGAACACCGTTGCAGCTAATGTTGAATAAGTTCAATATGATAAAAATCACCATTACTTACTTCACTAAAACCTATGTAATTTTACCCTCTCATCTTCCAAATGACTTTTTTGAATGAGGTTTCAAAACCACGGTTATTATACACTTACTGGTTTCCCCATTGTATAGGTTCATTACATTTTCAACGACTTATATAAACAGTGCCATAAGTGGTTAAGGTACTATGCTACAAGCCAGAAGGTCGCGAGTTCAAGTCCCGACGAGGTCACTGGATTTTTTTCAATTGATCTAATCCTTCTGGCCGCACTAGGCCCTGGGGTTTACTCAGCCTCTAACAGAAATAAGTACCAGGAATTAATTAAATAATTTTCCTGGGGAGTGAAGCGCGGCCGGCGCGTAAGGCTGACAACCTTACCGCCATCTTTGAGCCGATTGTCAAGGTAATGTGGGACCCTTAACGTCTCACACCCCTATGGGCCTTCACAGCCTGTTACAGGGATAGCTTTACTTTATTTTTTTACTTACATATGAAGAGTTTGAGACATACAATATCTCCATGTGCAAGTCGTTTCAGCCTGTAGCTAATTAAATTCTTTTCAACATAGATATGTTCCTTAATATTCTGTTTTAAATACTTCAAAGTTCTGTATTTTCCTTGAAGCTCCCACATAAGACAGCTATACAGAACAGTACATAAAATTACAAATTTACATTCCAGTATATTATTTTTCAGTTCTCTGTAGAATAAATAAATAAAAACACTACAAATAATCCTGAAAAAAATACCGATGATAATTTTCTTAACTTATTCTGCACATAATTTCATAAAGACCCTCCATTTATGTTAACATCATTCCCAGAGACTTGGTTTCATCACATTTATTTGTAGTTTGCTGACTACTGCCATGTTCCATAAAAAGCAGAGATTTCCTTTGGTAGCTGGGTGACTATTAGCTTCTCAAGAAGGATTCTGTTGCATCAAGTTAGTTTAGTTAACTAGCAATTTTTTAGTATGATCATGGGACATCCTCACACATTTAATATTCATATTTTAACATTATTATTATTCTTAGTGGGGTGAGACTGAGTCCACTTGGTACTGCAGCCACTACTGGCATATTGTACCAGCTCCAGATGACAGATGATGGTGACTTTGGAGAAATTGGTGGAATGAAGATGGGTAGGGGAAACTGAAGTACTTGGAAGAAACGTGCCCCAGTGCCACTTTGTCCATCACAAATCTCACATGACCAGACTGGGGCTCAAACCTGGGCTGCCACAGTGGGAAACCAGCAACTAACCACTTGGACTATGGCGCAGCCTATATTTTAACATTACTTCCAAATTAATGCTTCTAATGCTTTTAAAATGATTTCCATGTTGATATTTATGGTATTGTGACACTGTATCTCCGGTAACTACTCTGATCATATTTCATGGATCGCAGGGGGCTAAATAAGAAAACAGTTCTCAAGCATGATGAAACGGACGTTCCTATAACATGTGCTTAAATACATTTCTTCATACCTGGATTTTCTGCTGGTGATGTTTTCTCCCGACGCTCACGTGCTGAAAGTAAAAACAAATGCATTCACAATTAGATGGATCTGTAAAGTTAATCAAGTGTTTAGTAGCTGTAAAATCATAAAATCACTGCAGATATCAATGTTCCAACATACCTTGATCAGGGTGATTGAACCTGAAGACGTGGTTCTTGCCAAGGATTACCCGAGAGCCAGTCTTGAGGACAACAGTCTCCTTTACTTCCCTGCCATTGACATAGCAGAGTGCCCCTTCCTGCGGAGTCATTGTGATGACTCCTTCATGGTTCTCAAAGACACAGTGTTCACTCAGAATATGGGAACCACTGAGTTGTATGTCTTGCGGAATATTGGCTTCCGCAGAGCCAACACGAGTGAAACCGTTCTTAATGTAGTACAGTAAGCACTCAGACATGGAAGGATCTTCATTCAGATTCACAAGATGTGGAGTCTGCAAGAAATTATTAGCTAAATGATAATATGGACTAATTATCTCATAGTAAAGAAATTTCAGAGATTATTTCTGTAACACTGGGAGCAGAATGCATATTAAACCCTTCAGTGACAGCCTCCTAAGATCTTGCATAAAAAAAGTACTGAATTTTAATTTATTTTTTCTTTTGAACAAAATGGGATTTCTTGAATTTCAATTCCTGTCACTGCTCGCCTAGTTCCTCACTTCTACCATCTGACACCTGTGTAGTAAAACAAAATGGGGGTGGAGAGCATATCAAGTACAGGGGATCAATCTTACTGATACTCGTTCATTATACACTCTTTTACCACTGATATAACTGATTTGGTACCATAAGGGCTGAAAGAAAACAGGCAGTAAAATCCTCATTTAAGATTTCCTTGGATATCAATGGAGTTGAACACTAAACTGAGGAAAATCTTAAATGGAGGAAATTAAATGCTCAGATTGACTTGGGAACTCTGAAATTAGATGTTATATGATAGAAACAGATATACAGATTTTAAGGCAAAATCTGCAAAATTAAAAATACATCTGTATTGCGAATGATGCATACCCTTTGAAATACCAGGACAAAGGTTTACATAATTTACAATATCTGTTAAATCTACAACTAAAAACCTCCATTGTAAACAACAGGACCTTCCCGAACCGTAAACATTGGCCAATGGAAGGGGAATTGCATAGGAGAGTTGAGAAACTGCATAAGTACTGCCTGATGATGGGAGAAAAAATGAATGGCCAAAACAAGTCATAATTGTAGAAACTGTACAGTTATCCTAGAATTCTACATATACTGTTAGACAAACTGAATAAAATATGATTGAAAACTTAAATTGTGGAACATTAAATGGAGATTCCAGTGTACATAACAGTGGCTTCAGTGGGGTATGAACATAATAAACATTCTCAATACTTAATTTTATTGCAAAACCAGCAGAACATTATGGTTCAATAGTAAACGCTCCTGTTCCACATTTGGGAAACTTCACGTTTGATTCTTGATTCAGACATTGGCTATCTTAATTGCTTTTTATAGTTCTCTTCAGTTCCTTCATGTGAATGCCGTGATAACTGCCTTAAAACAGACCATGACTACTTCTCAGCTTTTCTAGCAAACCTTTCATAATCAGTCCCCCATTCAGGGTCATTATAAATAACCAGAAGGGAAAGTGTCGCTCAGAGCAAGAAATACTTAGTACACAGGACTTTCTTATATTTTCTGCGCTTCTCATATCTTTCTCAATAATTCAAGTTTCTCTGTCACAATCCTGTGGTACCATAAATAGAAAATAGTCATGAAAATCCAAACCACGGGCTAGTTACATGTGCATAAACTCTCAATGCGCTGACCTTCTTCGGAGAGAAGACACCAACTGTGTTTCCATCTTCCTTAACTGCAACTCCCATTTCTGCAAACACGGCCTCTCTCTGCAGTCTGATGGCTTCTGTGCGCTTCAACTTCTCTTCCCACGTTTCATTCAGTTCTGTAATAACAGTGATTAACTGTAAGATCTGAGGTCCTAGCAGCTGTAATTATTATGACTTCTGTCTTCTGGGATATAATGCTGTGTAGTCTGCTGAAATTTACCCAACATTTTGGAGAAACATACTGCCTCCATCTTCAGGATAGAAAAGTGATGGGTTGGCTTCCAAGGGTCCTTCAAATTTTTATCATCTCATGTCTCTGCAAGGAATTTGTTCTACTTTCTGCTTGCTTCATGTTGGTTTCTTGCTTGACTTACTCTTCAACCCTGAAGATGGAGGCAACATGTTCCTCTAAAATGTTTGTGAATTTCAATGCACTACATGGCATTATATCCCAGATGATAGAACTCTTCAGTGATTAATTTATTGGTGTGTTATTTCATGATATAGTATTAAGTGCAGAAATTGAATACGAATGGTTTAGGATGATAAGTGATGAATTGGGAAGGAAGTACAAGTTATCGCCTACAATTACTACCAAAACAGAACCTTGACAGAGTTATGAAAAATGATCATAAACCTCATTCAAGATAGGCAATGATACTGACAAATTACCACTTACCTAAACCTGCTCATTAATACATTAGAACTGTTAATTTGATTCATGAATTAAAGCATCATTTGCAAATTACTCAACCACCATAAGTGTTATAATTCATGAATTTTCAGAAACGCCTGTGTAGTTTTGGATGCAATACATGTTCTTTCATTTAACAAATCAGAATATTTACACTCAGAAGAATGCCTATCAAGCTTCTCTTCATAACCTCATACAAAGCCTTTAAAATTTTGTAAGCAGAGATTTGGTATGCTTTGAATCTCTGCATGTCAGTCATAAGGAAGTGTGGAACAAAAAAAGTTGTGTTGAAACTTAACTTGACATCATACAGAGAACAAATTTTGGATGAATTGAACTTTTTTATGAAAACTGACATTTCAAAAGAACTTAAAAAATTTGCACAACTTTAATTCCATCCAAATATGCACAAACTTTCTACACTGATCAGTATTAGCACAAGACAATATATGAAACGTTTTCCAGTACAAAACGTAAAATGTAAAGATAAATTGTTCTAATAGCACCATATCATGAAGGCATCTATGGGGCACTAGATTTAGATGGTTTGCTGGTTGTCCCAGGAAAATAGACCATAATATCCAACAGATAGGAGACTGGGTGGGTACTTATGAGAATGAGTACCTAGCACTGCGACCTTCAATGGTCTATTTTGTTTGGGTGGGTACTTAACATCAGAGGCTTAAAATACTTTGACTGCAATTTAAAAAAAAATAAATATCTGTGCAAACTGTGAATACTCTGAATAATCAGTCCATCACAGAACCTGAGAAATGTCACCCTTTCAGAATTATGATGATGCTATTTGATTTTTTAACTAGGAACCTAAATGGTGTTGCTAAATGTACAGGCACTTATACAATCAATGCACTACTTTGTAGGAGATGCTCCATTAATCATGTAAATATCTACTTGTTTGGCAGCATTACTTAGAATCCCAGCTTAAAAAACCAAATGCCATCAACACAATTTTGAATGGTTACTTCTGCGGATTAAGAATGAACTGAAGGTACTTCATATGAATGCAAACTGAATGGTACTTCACTCACCAGCAATCAGCTTCTCACTTGCTTGCAACTGATCCACTGCCTCTTCAGCAATAGTGGATGCTGGAGCCACAAGCTGGCGGTCACTGTCTCGTTTCACAACCTTCATTCCTATACCTTCTTCCCCTGCAGAACAGCATCCAGACAGTCAACCAATAAAACTTTCTTGAGTTCCAAAGTAACACCAAAAGCATATCATTACAGCAGCATGGGACAAAAGATGAAATATATGAACTGATTCCTGGGGAAGAGGACATTCTTCTGCAGCCAAAATGTGCTCCAGACAAGGGCTGATTGCATGTTAAAATATAAAATAGTACATCTTCAACCACATTATTTGTAATGGAAGCAAGTACAACATAAAACTATGTAGGCATGTGGTTTGATGATACTGAAAAAAATTCATCACTGAACTGGAAGTAGAAATATGTTTCATGCAGATATGAAATAAAACCGTTTCCAGAATGCTTCTTAAATGAATGGTGGCAAGAAATCTCCATGTTTTAACTTCCATTAGTTTCTTTATAGATGTAATTTTGATTTGTTATTATAATTCTCAAATATTTAAACTTTTCACAAATTTGGAATTTACTAGCTACCTTTAAATAATTATTTTGTCCTGAATTATGATTATGAGACATGAACATATACTTAGCTTTCTATACATTCACTTCCATAGTGTGAATGTGTTGCATGCAGTGAAAAGATTGCATCACATTTGATTGAACATGCAAAAATTCACGAAGTGCCTAGTTTTAAAATAACTTTACTTTTAAGATCTGCATGAAACAATGTCCAGTCCATATTTTCTTCCATGGCATCTGTGTTTCTACCACAGCTTATGTATTTCCGAACAGCATAAGGCAATTCGATGTCATGCCAAGACACAGAAGTGTCCATCAGTCAACTTCACCAATGAATTCAAACATCTGAGCATATCAAGCTGACTTTTGTTAGTGTATAGCAATGGTTAACATTCATACATTCTACTTGTGACTGGACTGCAAAATGGAAAGTTATGCCTGTGACAGTAATAGTAACAGTAAGAAAATAAGTACATCACATTAAGTTTCTTATATGTACTGTACATGTCAAGACAGCAAAACTCATGGCAACATGAGAAATGTGATGAATAACATTTAATCAAACTTGTAAGAATGGAGTTTAATAGAATATGCCAGTTTGTTTTCAAATAAAGCATCAGTTAAGTTCTTTATCACATAAGGTACCATATATCATATATAAAAGCACATAAAAAGCTTATGTTTATATGCATTTTAGAAACAAGAACTAGTTTTCTGAACAAGCTGCTGATGTATGAGAGAAGGCAAGTAATATTTAACATGCACGTGCTCTGATTTAGGCAATTTTTCTGTACGTAACATTATACACAGAACATTAAAAAATTGTGATGCCTTTGCTAGGGACAGGAATACAAAAAATACTAATTACTGGTCAACTGACTAAATTAAACTGAATAATTAATTAATTCCACAACAACAGTTTTTAAACTGGTGAAGATATTCCCTATGATGGAACTTGAAGATTCATTACTGTCACCATATAACATGATACTGAACCATATCCTAGGACAGCTTAATCCAATTAGCTTCTTTACAGCCTATGTTTCTTGAGATCCACTTTAATATTATCCTTCCATCTTCAGCTAAATGACCTCGTTTCCTTCAGTACCAATATTTTAATGTATTTATTTTTACCCCACGTTTTATATTCCCATCTATTTTATACTTCTCTATTTAATTATCTTAAAAATATTAGATCTTAAGAATAAGATGTGAAGGTCTTCAGTACATAATTTTCTTCAATCTCATGTTATTTTCAGTACTTCTTGGCCCAAATATTCTCTTCAGCACTTTGTGTTGGATGACTTAAGGTCACTAATGACAAGCATCAGCAGATTATGGGCGCTGGGGTACTCCATATCGGTCTCACTGATTACTGTACCCAGTGACACAAATGGAAAATACAAAAGTTCATTACAAGACCGGCAAGAGGACCTCATTATATCAATTTGCTTCTTTAAAAAAAAGGGGGGTAAGATAGGCTAAATACGAAGTACCCATCAGGGGAATGTCGAATGTACGTATATGAAATTCTGGTCCACACGCTTCAGAGAAAGATGCTGCTTGAAAGACCTAGGAAGAAATGGCAGAATTTTAAAATGGGTGTTAGAAAAACAGGATAAAAAGGCATGGCCTGATTCAAGAGGCTCAGGATAGGTGCAAATGATGGGTTTTGTGAACACACTGATGAATCTTCAGGTTCTATAATAGCAGGAAATCTTTTGACCAGCTTAACAACTATTAACTGTTCAAGAAAACCCTGTGCCACAGGTTAACTGATTAGTTAGTTATGCATAATATTTCATGGTGGGCTTCTCTGTTTTAAACGCTTTGAAGAAAAAAGGACAGTTTTAGTGAAATGAACAGAAGTTAAGATCCTGTTAAAATTCACATCACTTATTAATGTAGGGAACAGACAGAAACGTTAACAGTGCACTGTGGCTTATACACAGATATGGGCAATCCATACAAAACTCATTTTCTGCACACAGAAATTCATGTGTATTTCCAGCAACATTACTCTGAATGGTGCATGATTTATGAAATTAAGGTTCTCAAGGCAGTGAACATAAAGATTACCCTCTTCTGGGGTGTGACAGTGTGTAATCTGATATGGAGAAACCTGTTGCCTTCCTTGCCTAGAAGATGGAGACAACAGGTCCTCTGAAATGCTGGTGCCTTTCCGCCAGACTACACAATGTCACATTCCAAAAGACAGTAATCTTCAATTCATATTTTGTTATGAAGAGCTGCATGGTACATTCATGAGGTGAAACAAGAAATTCCTGGAACAGATACACAGGTTCAGACAGCAACAAATGACAGGACAAAAGAAATGGTGCATAACATACATAATAATCTTTCAGAAAACATTGGAGTTATGTTTTCTGGGAACATGTCTACAAAAACAGCTACTATAACTAGTACCATATGTCACAGTACACTGTGCATTGTATGTATCACATATAATTATGAGTTGCATAGTACAAGGGAAGTAGCACAATGGAAGAATAATTTCACAGGTCTGCTGTATATACAGAAATGCACGTTACAGCTGCTACTTGAAGGATCAGCGTAGCTAAGTAACATGGGGTCTGTGTACAAGGGAGGAACACTTAAAGCTTATGTTTCAGTCTCACCTCAGTACCACTTGGTGTTGGGAGGGAGATGCAGGCTGTATCACGTCATATGTTCAGACATTCAAGAAACTCTAAATCATTACTGTAATATTTTTACAATCACAACTTCTTTAAATGTGTTCTGTTCTTACAGGTGTGTCACATGGAAGAACTTATTATAAACAGTGCACATCACCATTAAACCTTTCCATGCTAATCGTTTCAGAAAAAAAATTAATACTGCCATGTGATGGAGTGTGTACCTGGTACATGTACTTGTACCATGGAAGAAGCTATCAAATTGCAAACATTTACTCTAATTGGTCTGTTGATCTTTGTCTATTTGTAGTTGTGTATATATAAAAATTGGTTATCTTCCATTTCTACATATCAATTCTTGATTAGACAGCCTTCTTTTAACTAATCCAGTTGTACTGAAATTGTAATATTCTTATATTAATTACAACCATGTGACCATACTGAAAATAATAATGGCATAAGTCAGAACTTAGACATGTTGCCATGCACCTCCCCTTCCACTTAGCACTATACATTTACACAGTGCGCAAAGGCCATGCAGCATACATACATCTCTGCTGCCTGCATCATAAACCTACTGAATTCTAAGTCCACTTTCACATCTTGACAAAACCACATTTTGTATACATAAAAAAAATCTTAAAAATGTAGACTAATTTTAAGAACCGAATTTACTTATTACTTACCTACAGTACCAAGAACAAACATTCTCATGTAATTAATTCTATTTATGAAGCCATTTTCCATTGTGTGTAATTGCACAAAGAAAGATGGATTCAAGAAATTTTGTTTTGATTACCAGCAGGTTCTTTCATTTAGTATAACACCAATCATTTTGTTTAAATTTGTAAAATCAGCTTTTTTTAAAAAAATTTATAACTTTTGCCTCGCAAGGACATACTGAGATTAAAACTTTGGTTTAAAGTCACAAGTGCATTTTCTGTCCTACCAATACAGCATCCTGTTATATTTGCTCAATACTTCTAGTTATCACCGCACTGAATAATTTCGTCAAAAGGTACAATTTTTACATAATTATACATTTTATGTATCATTTCACTTATTCAGAAAACTTCTTATTCTTTATATGCGGTGTTTTGCAAACAGCCATACTAAATGAAATATTATGGCACTCTGTCAGTCCTAATGCCAGAAGAGAATGAAGGCATACAGCCATGACATAAGGTACCAGTAAAAACTATTTCAAACTTATGGGACATTGAATTTCTTAGAGGAAGAAGCCTGGGATTTATATTTCTAATGTCTTGATACACTCAAATCCATATTCCTTTCAATGACCAACTTTTGCAACTGAAATCGGTTCCAGTTTAAGGTTTGTGCCAAACTAAAGAGAAAAGTGAAACACTGGATTTGTTATTTGTGCTGGTACTTAGCATACTTGATCCCACAACTGACCCTTCTGTAACCCATGAAATTCTATTGTGCACAATGCACATAAAGTCTAGCAAGTCAGATGTACTGGGGACACATTAGGTATTACTCACTTATATACTTGTCAACAGAGAAAATACATATTACATTATATTTAAACAATATAAAACAGGGACTAAGCCAGAAGCCAACAACTCTAGTGAAGGAAAAATAAGATTGAGGAATAAAATTGTATAAAAACAGACCACAGAGGTGCAAAGTAGCAATGATCAAAATATAATAATTCAAAAGGTAGTCTAGTCTTAAGATGCTTTTACTTATACATCAAACCCATCTTCATTTCACATCCTCTGTTATATTGAATGACCTCTCTACCAGGTGGCACAAAAAATTGTAAAAATGAATGGCTATACAGGTTTGAATACAAGTCACATGAGGTATGCAGAATATACCTTACTATAGTAGATTCTACAGGATTCTGAGGTTAGTTCTTTCTAACAAATCCTGCAGAGTAGGTGTCTCCCAACCCTCATGTGAGGACGGGAACAGATCCAGTTTCCAAAATGTTGTGTTCTTTGTGTTTATTAGAAGACCAGATCATGGACAAGTCCAAGAACCCAGAAATCCTGAGTGATACGTTATTCAGTTTGGTTCATTTGTTACAAAGAAATGATATTAATTTGTAATATGAAAATAGTAATTTTTACGTTCACATTACCCCCTCCAAAAGTGACAGCTGATGTTACAAATGAATTTGTAAGATCCACAAAATGGTTCTCAGACTCTCAACATTTATATCCATTAGAATGACATATATGGAACAAACCCATATATAGTTAATGTACAAGAGCCAGAGAACTGTTGCAGTCACTGGGGATACTAGAACAGAAAACTGAGTATCAGCCACCGATAGATTCAAGCATTAGTTTCCACTGGAACAGCACTTGGTTCATCACATACACAATCTGAGTTCTGTACATAATTGCCTTCACAGCCAATTATGGACCAACACTACTTTGACCTAAACATGTTGCAAGCAGGAATCAGGCATGCATACAGATTGCAAATTGATTCCTACAATGCATAAAATATACCACTGTGGTCAATGTTATTACATTTCAATCCTCAAAACAGAAAGTAACAAGGCAGCTGGAAAGCTATAACATATGGTATGTTATTTCACGAGATTTGGTTTACTTACAATTGTTATTCTTATTGTTATTCTCTTTCTTTTCATATATGACTTTACCATCTGGCCCTGGGCAGAGTAATACAGAAAAAAGACAAAGAGAGTTAAAATAATAGCTAGGCCCCAGTCCAGTGGTCCTAAACAGAGAAAGAGTGGCTAAACAGCCACATCCAGAACTGGTAAGATGTAAAAGGAAGACATAAGAAAACTATATTTCTAGATGGTATCAATTCCAGTGTAATATTTTTTTTCAAAAAATAAAAAGGGAAAATAATATCGAATCTGACTGCCTGTCTCATTTTAAAGCAATCTATAATATTTTCATGATTATTAAATTCACTTATAACAAGCCATATTTCATAACCTTAATAATATAAACAAATTAAGTCTTTAAAACACAGTAAAGTATCTCAAACAGTTTCATTAACAAATGTACAAATTATAAAACAAAAGAGATATTGTCTAAATAAAATGTATATACATATACACATAAGGTTAAACAACCGAATGTTCACTCTCACATTAAGTAACTTCAACAAAAATTTACTGGTTAGCCACCAATAATCCCTCAACCCTGAATACACTCAGACCCTGTCCTTCCTTCAGTCAAAACCATTTCAGCAAGATTCAAGAATTTCTAGATGGAATGATCATTATTTGGTTCACTTCTGCAATCAAGAAATCCACTATATTTACCTCAACTTTGTTTTTGCCCATTTCTTGAAATTTCAGCACCTACAAATGATTATTTGGTATAAAAAAGATGGTGTGTCATAATTAAAGTATGATATACCAACAGAGGAACATCTGCAGACTGGTAGTTGCTCTACAAACCAATTAGTGTTACTAAGGATAAAGGGATTAAGAGTTGTAACACATCTTATGGCATTAGCCCAGTATTTGTCTAGACTTCAGAAAAGCTGGTTGTCTTGTAAGATTTCAAGCTGGTACCTCTAATATACAAAGCAGGAAGAGTGTTTCTTGCTGCTTTTATAGTTTATTTAACAATATCTATTCAAATGTATATGTTCTGTCACATGGGAGGGTGACTGTAAACAATAAACTGTTAAGGAGGTTAAGTGGTCATCGTCTGTTCTACGATAGTGTACCAGCGATTCCTGCAAAGACTTGGAGGGAAAGCCAGCCAGAATACCTTGTCTCTGGGCTGAATTCTGAACCTGAAGTAGGAGTGTTAGCCATTATATTACATTTGATTAAGTAAATTAATCATGATGAATTCCTGGTGTTGTTACTGCTTCAAGATTAAGAATATGGCTTGTTAAGGTCAAAATATTATTTTAGGGAAACCTCTAAAATGAAATGAAGAAAATACAGACACTTTGGAAAATAGTATTCAAACATGTGATACTGTACAATGATGTTAATTACACTTTTTACAAATCTACAAGCCTCACTTCACACCATTTGGAAGCAGTTAGATAAAGACTGTATCACTAAAAGCAACTTTAATAATCTGGCAGCATTACATATCTGATGTAACTTACAAGCTATACAGTCAAACAGTGATTTGACAGCAGGACTAGCAACATACCTTCCTGGACTTCAATGCCTTCTGCCTTCAGCAAGTCACGCAGGCGCATGATCTCTTCTTTCAGTTCTCGGATGAGTTTGGCATTAGCATCCTCGTTGACAACAGCCTTGCATACAATCTGCTTTGCTCGATCAGCATACCTGTTGCACCAGAAGAAATTCTGATTTCAAACATGAAAACCTAAATCTACTAATACTCATATACACACAGAAGCATGTACACATGCACATATTTTAAAACATAATCCAAAGAGTTACATATCATTATGGACTAAGCAAAATAACCCATGACAATGAAAATATCTTTTAAGCTTCCACACTGCTTTCTCTAAAAACACACAGGGAGAAAGACAAACAGTGTTCTACAGATCCCAATCATTCTAATAGATAATAAGAATTCTATGGAAGATGACTGAATAATATCAGACATAAATTAAAATTTTAATTTCACAACTAGAGGACAATGGAGGTAGAGTGTTTATTTATACAGGTACCTATGATGTATGATCTATGGTTAGCAAAACAGTTTTATTCTGGTGTTTGAAGTCACTATAGCAGAGTGGACCAGTTGACATTATTTTATTATCCACCAGAACCTTGCCAGGAAAGAATACCAGAGATTTTGAAAACATTCTATGATAAAACTGTAAAAATTACAAATGACATTAAACCAGAACCTTCAGATTCAAGAGTCATACGCACTTGATTTGTTGAACCTTAAAGTTAGGTACAGAAATATGACTGTACTGGATTAAGTGCTATCATGCATATTCACGCTTTGATCAGACATATCAACCATGTTCATGACTAGGAATCCATAGCAAATTCATTTTCTTTTAACAGTGCAAAATATATTACACATGTTGATGTCTACTTCATGTGCAGAAAACCTAAAAGGAAGAGACCACTAGGACACCCTTGAAATAGATGACAGATGGGATGATGCTATTAGACTGGATTTTAAAGCACATAGTGGGAGGGTGTAGTCTGGATTTATCCGGCCCAGGAAAGAAATCAATGACAGACATTTGTGAATATGGTAATAACAGAATTTCTTGAATAACTGAATGACTAGTAGCTTTTAAAGAAAGATTTTCTCCTTTTCCTCCATTACGTTAGTCAGCTAGATGGAGTAAGAACTCCTGGTTAGAAAATGATTGTTTTTTGAGGTGTGTACTACACACAATTTCAATTCTGGGTGCAATCCTTTATAATAAGTTCAGTTTAAATAAAGTAACTCTAGTCATTCTGTTTCAATCAGCGTGTAAAGAACTTCAAAATTTCAAACTATAATCACATTTAAAGAATAAAAGTGTAGAACAAAAGCACTCACTAATGTAAAACCTGGAAAAGAAAAAGAAAGAAAGAAAAAAAAAAGAGATTAATGTCACACACCCAATGACACAAAATTGTGCTGACCTGAGAGTTGACAGGGTTTCATCATAATTGATGTCAGCAGGGCTAATAGCTGCTATCATGGCAGTTTTGGAGTTTCCTCCGAGATTCTCCCTCAAGAGCCAAGTCAAAACCGAATCTCGATAAGGAATAAAATCAGCTTTCTTTTTCTTTTTAGTTGCCTATATTTGGGAAGGAAAATGTATAACATGATAAATAACATTTAATTATACACATTATAAAGGAATATTACTAATTTAAATCTCTGCATATAATGATATAGGTTACTTTGGACATCAGGAATGCTTTTAAAAAATGCAACATATAACATGTTGGAAGGGAAATTTTAAGCATATGCCCTTATTGCAACCACTTTATTTACAACATTATTATACAGGAAGTATACAAATTTATTTATTCAAAATATAAATGGAAACTCCTTCACTTGTTCTTCACATTTGTGATGGATCATTAATTTACTGTCTGGTCAGCTATCTATACTATAGCATCAACTAAGAATTTTTTTTTTTGCATTTCTGGGCATTTTATATATTATTTCTGATAATGCCATTCCCTTAGTTTGGGAAGAAGCTATGTTCAATGAATTATATATGTAAGAATAAGACATGTTCATATTTTTCAATAAATTCAAATTATCTGATAATATTAACTGCACACTTCTTTTACACTTATTTCTTACTTATTTCATATTTTAAACTTACTCACATATTGCTATTCATTAAATTATTATGTGTAAGTATCTTGAAGATGTCCAACTATTTCTTACTGTTAACAAGAACAGATAATGAAAAAAATATACTGAGCATGTGTATCAATTTCTGTCAAATATTACATACTTAAAAGACCAATGAAACTTCAGAAAGCATTACAACAGCATTATTCCTTAAAAGCTTCTCAACTCTTACATCAATAACAAACACATCCTTGCAATTATATAACACTTAATATAGTATTTAGAATTTAATGTTTCAAGATGCACTTACCGCCTAATCCAAAGAGGGAAAATGGAAGAGAAAGTAAATGTTAATATACTGCATTATTGTAAAACGGTGCATATATTTGCATCTGTACTCACTGGAAGCCACTTATCAAACTTCCGCCAGTGACACAGTAATTAATACTGAATATTATAAAAGTAGGTTTAACATCTTGTGATTTCTGAATAACTGCAGACTTTATGTGGCTATGAATGTCATGTACAGATAACTTTGAATACAAAATAGAGATGGAGAAGGAAGAGGGAAATGACTAGATCTCGCTGTATATAACGAGAAGATACACAATAATCTTGTCAAGATAACAAATCCTGGTCCAGTAATGAACCAGGGAGTGTTCAAGTGAAAAGCAGGAGTGATATACTAGCCATAATGTTTAGTAACAGATGCACAGAAGGCTTTCTGAGAGGGGAGATGAATAAACGCACACAAATTAACTGGACAAACTGAAGCAGTATAAAATGTCTTTCAGAATGTATGCTATTTGGTTTCACCACTAAGGGAATAGAGCAAACTGCTTTACAAAATCTGCATTAAAAGATCACCATTGAAGGAAGTTTATGCTTAATTTCATTGTAGCAATTAAACTACTACAGAATGAAGAATATAATGAATTTAAATGATTGTTAAAACCAGGAAAAAATTATGTCTTATATTTCTTGCAGCTGCCTGACCATGTCTCATTATCTCAAAATCTGAGATTCTGTGGTTTAAGAGGACTTAAGAGTTATGCATGAATGCTCCAAAGATTACATTTGTTACATGGACTTACACTTTGAAGGTGGGAAAAAATATGCATGATACCAAATTTTAATTTCTGAGGTCCAACCTTTATGAAGAAGTCATAAGAAACTGATGTTGTAATTTATTTACTGACAATAATAAGAACCACATTTTGTGATAAACTACAATTTCAATGCTTGGGCTGTCAATTTATATTTCAGATATATAACATGTAAAGTAAAGAGTTGACAACAATTTTCTGGGCACAATAACTTGTAAAGTTCAAACAACCAGTGGAGGATATGAGTTAATTTTATCGTAACTACTTATAGGAAATGAGACACATCAATACAAGACTGTTTGGAATTCCATTACAGAGCGGGTTTGTACTCACCACTTCTGCGAGAGCAGAGATGACCTTCCCAAGTGTGGTCAGACTTTTATTGATATTAGCACCCTCCTTGAGACGTGTGCCCTTAGCTCCAGTTGAGTCTGCTCGCTCTGATCCCGCCAGATCAACTAGTGAGATTTTACTCACTTTCTCTGTAGAAAGTTCTGTGGTCTTATCAACGCGTTGCTGAGTGAAGAATATGGTGAACACAGCATGTGAACGACTTGAAGTTTCATTCATGTTTGTTGCAGCAACAGTTCTGAAAGGCATATCATAATGGTGTGAAACAAATTACAATGTGATGTGCTGATAGTGTTTATACTTTCAAATCTTTCTGAAGGTTTTCCTAAGACTGATTCCACAGATCTGTTTTGTTTTAATGATTTTCCTCTGTTATATATGATGGACCTTACCTTGCTTTATTACCCTCATCTATGAGGTCATGTATGTCTTGATATGAAGTGACAGCGAGCTTCGAAAGGTCCTCCACATATGGACCAAGTAGGGGATGTTCTCTTACACGTAGGTTTCCCTTGTTCTTGGGATTGAGCAGGTCTCGCACACGTTCACAGTAAATTTCCATGTAACTCACCTGAAATCAGGTACAGCACCAGCCTCAGCGTCTCCAATTAATTGATATATAAGCTTGATGGGATAAGGGCAATTTTAAACACATTGCTGATTTGCAAGGCTTGGTCTCATTGGTGGATCCTATACACAGCATGAAGAAAATTGTGGTGGTACTTTCCCTTTGCTGCATAACTTCCTGTAAATATTGTTTAACTGCTCTGTGTGACTGTCTTATTAATAATCATGACTATGTTACAACCAATAAAATTTTAACATACTATTAGAATGAGCAAGAAAGATGATAAGTAGTTACTATAGGATTCTGACGATGGTGTATAACACACTGATATATTGGGTTTTTGGACTTTATCCATCGTCCTGGTTTTTAAGATAACTAANAAGGCTGTAGTTCAATTCCAGGTAATGTTGTGACTAACATATTCAGATGAAATATTATTTGAAAATGAAGATCATTACTTATATTAATTATGCTGGAACTCTTGGGAATGTATTCCATAAGCAGATGTGATTAGGAGAGTCCCAGTGATAACCAGTAGGAGTTCGCTGAAAGTTCACCAGAAACAGTTATAAATGAGACCTATTTGGTGAGCGAGACACAAATACGAGGAGAAAAATGAGACTGTTCTCACAAAAATTGGATGCAAGGTATAAACTATACTGAAGTTGCTCAAGTTCAAATTCAGTGGTAGGTTTCAGCAAAAGTATGATTGAACCCATGGGTCACAGGAGCTGCCAGTATAAAAATAATGTTCTAATGACCAAATGTAAACGGAAACACAAAGAAGCTGAACATTCAAAATTGTCATTCATGATATTACACTTAAATGTTAAATAAAGAATAGCCAACATGCACTCCAAAAAATGTAAGCCGTACGATTATGAACCAGATTAATTAAAACTGATTGTTAATTCTGTACATACAGACAGCTGAAGTCCTAGAAATGTGATCATAAACGAATTGTGATAAGAAAAGAATACCTATTGTGAAGTTCAAAACCAAATCCAGTTACCAATAAAAAACCAGAAGAGAAAATATAGTTCCTGTGATCTACACAAAAAATTTGATATGAAAGTAAATTGAATGAAATAAAAATATGACTGAAACTGGAGTGAATCACATCTTCTAGCAACTAAATCTGTTCTTATATCACTTAAAATCCCTGGATTTTGCATGTTTAGAGCTCTACTTTTTAATGTACATATGATGAGTTTCTGTTATCACATATGATAATTTATATGATGTGTATGTATTGACCGTCCTCTAGTGCACACAATCTCACATGTCACTTCACTACATGTTTCGGCATCACTGTGCCATTCTCAGGTGTGTTATTTACGTTAAACTACTGCACTGCTCGCCATCATGTGTTTATAAAATGATGACGAATATACATTTTAAATCATTTTATAAACGACACATGATGGCAAGCAGTGCAATAGTTTAATGTAAATAACACACATGAGGGTGGCACAGTGATGCCGAAACATGTAGTGAAGTGACAAGTGAGATTGTGTGCACTAGAGGACGGTCAATACATACACATCATGGACATGAATCAGTGCAACAGGACGCTAAAATACAACACTGATAATTTCTGTCTTATTACAATAGAATTCACTCCTTACCTCAACTGAATATTTCAGTTCTTCTGATGACGTATTCCGAATCCTCTGAAAGAGATCCTTACAGATCTGTGGAATGATTCCTTCCTGTCCTTCCTCCTCTTGCCTTCCCATCATTGTATATGATTTCCCAGCACCAGTTTGTCCATATGCAAATATACAAACATTATAACCTGCAAGAAAGAAAGTATGGACCCTCAACTATGCCAGCATACAAAATGTTCAACAGAAAGTTACATGACAATTCCCTATGAATGTGTTCAGTTTATAATAACAGATTTTACCTTCGAATGCATGTTGTAACATTTCTTCCCCTATGTCCTTGTAAACCATGATTTGTGAAGAGAAATTTGGATCTGATACCTAAAACAAAGAAGGCAACATATTTATAGTTACACAATAACACTCTCTGTTCTTAGTTCTCACTGAAAGTAATTCCAATTACATCTTCTGATATCAAACAGAATAATACCTCATAACAAGCCTGCAAACTGTAAATATAAACAATAACCATTTGATGATCAAGATGATCAACTTAGTGACTGTAGGCCTCTGAGGAACACATCCATGGTTATCATCAATAACCATTTGGAAGAAGATAGGCACATGACATAAAGGAATTTCTCATGAAAGAAACCATTCCACAGTCTCTGTTTTAGCCTTCAAATTAACTCCAAATCACTTCACACACAGGCAGCCAGTGTTCTGATCCTGAATGGCAAAGCATGGCCCCACAAGACACACCCTGTACCTGATCTTATGGGAGAGTATGAAAGGAAAGAGCTGCCTCATCCCTCCTAGTTTTGGCATTAGTACATTGGACTTTCGTCTACTGCATAGTGGAAAATACAGGTTGCCTGAGAATGAGTCCACACATTTTAAATATTTTTATTGAGAAAGTAAACAGAGTCAGAAGAGTGTGGTTTTCATCACATGACAGCAGAAATTCGAAGTTGTATGTATGATACTTGTTCTGTCGAGTGCAAATGACTGTGCGCATGCTTAAGTTTCAGGGTATTTGAATACCAAATGGACAACGTGAGAGTAACAAAGGGAGCTCAGGTCACAGTGAAATGAGATGGAGAAAGGGGAGGATAGCTGTTTCATATGGTGAAAACTACACTCTCCTAACTAACTAACGCTGTGGTTTTAGTCTGTAAGTGAACTATACCGACCGAGTGACAGAACTACACTCTCCTAGCTCTGATTATTTTATCAACAAAAATGTTAAAAATGTGTGTACTCCTTCTTGGACATCCTGTATTTCAGAAGCATTTACAACATATCTACAGAAGGGGACTGACCTATCCAATATCAATAATGGGGACCTACTGAAAGGTGTTCAAGCTTTACCGAAGTGTTTGGAGGCTGTCATGAGGCAGAACTGTAATTACATCAAAGGAATGTAAAATTTGAATGTAAAAAAAAAAAAAATATTTTTGGACCGGAAGTGAATTGTTTGTTGCATATGTAACAACTTACATCATGTGACCAATATGAATAATCATAGTTGAAGTTTTTTGTTGCATCTTTGGAGCCAGCTGGAACTTTTGGATTGACAATATCTGTAAAAAAAAAATCACACAATGAGTAACATTGGCAATAATAAAATTCTTTTATATATTGAAAAGGATCTTTTTACCAGCAAATTGGACTTAAATTTGAGGAAGAAACTAGTGAAATTGAGGAAGAAACTAGTGAAATGCTACATTTGGAGCATAGCTCTGTATGGGGCTGAAACATGGACACTTAGGGCAGTAGATCAGAAACATCTGGAAAGTTTCGAAATGTGGTGTTGGAGAAGAATGGAGAAGATCAGTTGGACCGATTATGTGAGAAATGAAGAAGTGTTAATTAGAGTCAGTGAGCAGAGGAATATCCTACATGAAATAAGAAAACGGAAGGCTAATTGGATTGGTCATGTTTTACGCAGAAACTGCCTTCTAAAAGAAGCTATCGAAGGAAAGATAGATGGGCGGATAGAAGTGACAAGAAGACGAGGAAGAAGACGTAAGAAGATGCTGGATGACCTTGGGGACAGAAGAGGATACTGTCATTTGAAGGAGAAAGCTCTAGATCGCATTAAGTGGAGGAATTGTTTTGAAAGAGACTGTGGACCTGTCGTCTTGACAGATTACTGATGATGATGATTGAAAAGGAGCAAATTGCAAACTGCCAGGTGCTGCATTTTGAGTACCCAGATTGCAGTACGAAGGGGCTCTGAATCATCACATTCTTACAACTTAAACCAATCTTACAACCACATACAGAGTTTCATTTTAAAAATACTAGCTAACGTCCATGTAGAAAAAGAGATGACTGAAGGTAAACAGGCATCATCGTTTCTTTACACGGCTGCATGAGTATTCTTTCTGCAAAATTATATTATATTTTGACATGATTACTGAAACATCGCCCTCTGGTACGTAACGGTACGATAAACAAGCAAGCCATTGATAGGTAACGGCCTGCGACAACAAAAAAAAAAAAAAAACGATTTCGAGCGGTGTTTTCTACGCGGTCCGTACCGTGGCAATATAGTGACAGCCGTTGAGGCAACTTAGTCATTCGCAGCATAGGACAAGGAGAAACCAGAAATAGAAGATATAATAAGAGGCTTAAACTTGGCGGCGGTCAAGCGTACGACCGTTCAAGTGATTATGCTGCCGTTGTAGCATAAGACAAGTAAGATAGGCATGATCTGCTTTGCAAAGCCTGGATTGACAGAGGACTTGTACATAATGCAAAAGGAAAAATTTCAATAACATGTTATATATGCGATACGTACACTTGCCAAAGGCCAAGCTCGTTCATAAGAGACAGACCAATTCTCTCGTCAGAGAGGATGTAACGTAAGGCCTATGACCGCAAGAGTTCAGCTGAAAAAATCTCCGGTCGGGAACCTCAAGGGGCTTGGTGCCATAACGAACTGACTGGCGGTAAACCACCGGTCGTAAAGTATCTGTGACTCTTGACTCTGAACTTAGTTGCTGCCATGAGGAGACGCACGGCAGTCGCCAGTAGGTAAGGACATACGTACGGAAGCAAAAGAATCTACATTGTTGACAGCCGTTGCCAGGCAACGACTGATGAAGACACAGAAGACTTTATGTGTGGTGTAGTACAGTGATTTGTAGAGAGTGTAGATCCGTGGAATCGTTATATTTACCTGTAGTTACGAGTTTTAAGTGTTCAAAAAATCCAATTACCAACCCAAACCCCGTGTTTAGTCCTTAAATCGTGACAATATATAGGCAGATCGATGAGGATCCAGCGTTTGGATTTGTTTACCAATTCATTACTGCGTACATTGCCGTCCTCACGCGGCAACTTCTCCGATACCACTGTTTCACATATAGCCTACACGAATGGTTGCAGGCGTTTCCACGTACTCCGCAGATTAGTTATTCTAAAATTCTTGTTATTGTTTTATGTTGATCGTAATGGAAAAAGTCACGAATATGTTTACAGAGTTATTTAAGACGCTGAGACCATGTACTGCGAATGATCATCATCATCAACATCAGTAATCTGTCAAGACGACAGGTCCACAGTCTCTTCCAAAACAGTTCCTCCAATTGATGCGATCTAGAGCTTTCTCCTTCAAATGAGAATATCCTCTTCTGTCCCCAAGGTCATCCAGCATCTTCTTACGTCTTCTTCCTCGTCTTCTTGTCACTTCTATCCGCCCATCTATCTTTCCTTCGATAACTTCTTTTAGAAGGCAGTTTCTGCGTAAAACATGACCAATCCAATTAGCCTTCCGTTTTCTTATTTCGTGTAGGATATTCCTCTGCTCACTGACTCTAATTAACACTTCTTCATTTCTCACATAATCAGTCCAACTGATCTTCTCCATCCTT